GCTGCATATCGGCAATCGGATCGGTATGGGCTGATATGGCTCATTAATTATCGGCTGTCAGTATTGGCCGAAAAAATCTTTATTGGTGCACCCCTACCTCCTACCAGGAGCACTGCCTCTAACACTAGTTTGAGATTTTAATCGTATATTGGAGGAAGAGGATAGGATGGGGAGCAACACCTCATGATTAGATAGGCCCTCACGGATGTTGGCAAGGATGGTAGTGGAGCATAAACTACCAGACACACAAAAGGAAGTTCCTGGAGTTGACCGTAGGTTACTAGAGTGGTCCTGTATAGATTTCATGTTGAGGTCTATAGCCTAGAAAAATTGAGTGGCAGAGAGAATACCGGTTTTCTTCTCAAACCACCTGCTACTGAAGACAGTGTTGGAAGGAACAGCCAGTAGAGAGCAGTGGAGGATAAATACAAGATAATTGGAAGATGAATGTGTGTGCAGATGGTATAGGAGCCACTGTGAAAAATGGGGAGTAATTAAAAGGGTATATACAAATACAGTGAAATGGTGGGAAGAAGTTAAAGAAAGAATATGAGCCCCACATGAGCATGTGGGGAAAAGAAGGGCCTGGGAAAAGGGAAGAGGTTTACAAGACTGCAGTGGAGACAGCAGTGTCTCCCATGGCTGTCAGAGAAGGGATTCCTGGTAGCAGAGGAAATTGTGGAGACACAAAAAACCTATTGAAGGAGTGGCATAGAGAGAGCAAAGAAACATCTTCCTTACGAAGGCTGCCTGGATGGAAGAAGGAGAAGAATGGTCCTACTTATTTTCCTCTCCTTCAAGAAAAGTATTAGCCATGCAGGATGAGAGAGAAGTGCGACAAACAAAGACAGAAGAGATACTGAGTGCAGTAAAGGAGTTTTACTAAAATTTATACTTCAGCAAAGTTGCATCAGGGAGCCCTTGACTCCTTTTTGATAGGGTTAGAGGTGACATTGGAGGAAAGTGAGAGACATCAGCTGGAGAGGGCATCGACACTGGGAGAACTATGGGAGGCAACCTGAACCTTCAGGACAAAAAAGATCTCAAGGAATGACAGGCTCCTGGAAGAATTTTACAAGACTTCTTGGGATTTATTAAGCCCTGACCTGTTGGTGGTGTTCTAGGAGTATGTGGCAAGGGAGCAGCTTCCACATGCAGCTTCCTGCTGGAGTTCTGGAAGCCCCACGTGGAGGTATGGAGCCGGGCAGCCCAGCCCACACCACCACCATCCCCCACCCCCCCTGCAGTCAGGAGCTCCCCTCCCCACTTACCCAGGTGCCCAGTTGCACAGCTCTTTGCCTACATCATGGGGCTCTCAGCTGGAGTTCCAGTAGCCCCACAGAGGTGGAGGCACAGAGCCCGCTGCCATTAAATTATGCTAAATTATGCAGTTATGCACAGTCATGCCTTTTATGGGCAAAATTGCACATGTACATAATTGTATAATTCCCCAGGGTATAGTACTGGTATGGGTACTCTATTACACTTGGGGATTGTGTAGAACAGCCAAATGCCCCAGACAAACTTGTGGGGAAGGAAGCATATGGCATGTGATGTGGGAGTGTCAGTTTGCCAAAACAGTCTGGGGAAAGGCAGAGAAGCTCCTACAGTGGCTGAGTGCTAAGTGCCAACTCACATTAGAAGTAATTCTGTGTGGAGTGTGGCTGGGACCCAAAGAAAGGATGGAGAAAGAGTGGGGAAAGCAGTAGTGAGATTTTGCATAGTATTGTGGAAGGTAAGAACTTACTAGTCTTGTAAAAACTGGAACTTTCTGTATAAGATGCCTTGCATTTGGGCCTGAGCAAACTGCACTGGTATTGTTGACAGGACACAAGAGAACTAGGTAAGGAGCAAGTAGTGGATTTATGGAACAGAGAAGACTGGAGATGCCTAGGAGGATGAAAAAATGAGCCCTGAGGGGCAGTGGAGCTATAGCCAGAGACTGGAGGTTGGCAGATAGGAGCAAAGACAAGACATATATGGAATAAGGGTTGATAGGCATTAATAGATGAGCTTGGAGAGTGATGGGGAGCAGTGCAATATTTAGAAAAAAAAAGTGTCCAGGCCCCTGGATTAATGGGAATTTTGAGAAGGAGGGAATGGTTGGAGAATGTATAAATATTTTGTGTTTTTTGTTGGTCTTATTTGTTGAAGATTTGGAAGCTGACAGAATCACATTTTAAGTTTTGATACGTTATTTTGTTTTCTTCTTAGTTGATGCAGATTCTTGTAACGTAAGCTGATGGAAACGAATTTATATGTTTTTGATACTTTTATAACAATAAAAAAAGTTCCCATCAGTATCTTTGCCTAGTATGAGCCATGTTATTTATAGTCATGCTCAGGACTGGCTACATTTAATCAACTTCATAGTTGGTTTTTATTCCTGAGCACATGCTGCTTTTGGCAATAGTTTAATGATAGAGTGGGCACGTCTACACATAAGCTTTAATGCACAGTAGACTATTTTACTGCACATTGAAGTGTCACGTAAAAACCGTGACATTACGCTAATGTGTAGTAAAAGTCGTCTGTGCATTAAATGTCACTAAAAAAGAGCAACTGTGCTACTGCACATTAGTGTAGCCTAATGCGCATTAATTTAGTACCTCACATTGAAGGTACTAAATTTAATACACATTAGAAAAGGTGCATTAATGCACATGTAGAACGCACCACAGTATATTTAGTGAGGTTTCCTTGTATGCAAATATAAGTGGCTTTTTTCCCCGTGCTGGTTAGCGGAAAAAACTTGATCTACTATTCAAGTAAATGCCCTGAATGGTATCTATTTACATGTTTTTTAAAAAAGGTAGACTCTTTATTGAAATGCCAGATTAGAACAACAGTCCTATATTCAAAGTTTACACATAATCCCCAAAACTGAGGATCCAAAACAGCCCCAGTGAAAAATCCACATTCTCCTAACTTTTTGAAGGATGTAAGAAAAGAGAAACTGATTGGCTGTGTTTACAACATTTTTATGCGGAGATGTCACTCAGATTTGACCTCTCCTAAACATGTGAGCAAAGTACATTCAGCTAATTTGTGTTTTGGAAGAATTAAACAGTTGATTTTTTTGGGAGGGTTTTAATTTAACCTCAGACTCTTTTTAGTTTAGTGCTAGAAATGTTCAAGACTTAGTCTTTTTCCAAATAATAAATGCACAATCCACTGAAAAAAAAAACAAATGGTTTTCAGATCTTAAATGTGCGTTCTTCTGAAGTGTATGGAACTTACTCAACTTTCCAAGGTATTCTGCCATCTCACCTTGTTCCCTGGCTTTGTGGCTCCTATGGTGAACTGCCACATGGCATGCTCTAGAGCAAGTGACCTAAGGTTTCCTAACTCCTTGTTTTCTGCAGTAGAGCCAGGGAAGCCTCAACTTGACACTCTCAGGCCCTCTCAGGCCTTCTGATCTGCAAGCCTCCATCATTATGATTGCAAAGGAGGTTGGTCCCCTCAGCAGTCATCCATTGTAGCCCTTCAAGGTGCCTTGCAAAGTCACCTGCTCTGTACAGTACTACCATATTTTTTGGTGATAGGTCAGCCCCCTACACTTATAAGTGGGGCTCCGGGTTTTCTGTTTCGCGCAGAAAAACAGGGAAAATGATGCTGCCACCCTGCACCTCCACTTCACAGGAACAGGGCTGTGGCGAGGAAAGGGCAGCAGCGCCCTTCTGCAGGTCGAACAGGCACCACCCGGCAGGCCAGACGCAGGGGGAGAAGCTTGCACGTGGTGGCTACCACTGCCATTGACCACCCTGCACCGCCACTCTGTGTGCGGCCACTGCTACAACTCTGCAACTAGCTTCCCCTACCCCCCACCCCCCGGGCATGCCTCAACTGACCGCCAGAGATACACTGCTCAAAAAAAGGTTGAATACCCCTGTTTTAAGCATCTGCATTCCCCAAAGATTCAGTCTACATTGAGTATACACCAGTCTAGGCTGGTGCATAGTATTCCCTACAACTTTAACCCTGGCCTGTTATAGGCTATTTTGAGTCTGGGTATTGCCACCTGAACTGAGGCAAGTCTCTGCTGGACACTAGTAAAATATACCTGTTGGGCCAACAACTCTGTAGAAGAATCTGCCCAATTTATTTTCAGAGGGGACAGAATCCCAATCCTGGTGGCAGGAGAAAATGGAACAAGAAAGCTTGGAGAGAGAGAGAGTAATGACTGGGACTGGAGGCTAGTAGAAGAGAAAGGGAACTAGGGGGCTGGGGGAGGGCACTGGATAAGGGAACTAGGACAAGAAGAAAAATGGAGAGGGAAGTAGAAGTCAGGACTGAAATTGAATTAAGTGGGTGAATGGGAGTAGAACTAGCCTGACAAGGAAATTCTGGACTGGGACATAGAAACAGGATTATAAAAGAAACAGGTCTGGGATGAGGACAAGTTGGAGGGTATGAGGCTAAAAGTTTCAAAGGGGGGCGGGCTGGGGCGGGAAGAGGAAGAGGAAAAGGAATCAGGTCCCTTAAAGCACGTTCCCCTGCAGAAACTTCAAGAGAATGCAAAATTCCAGCATCTGTTCCACTGCTGTAATCAAATGACTGTAAAACCCACTGGCAGATTGTCTCCTTTCTTTATCTTACTATGTAGTCTATGTAGAGTACAAGTACTGCTGCTATCACTTACTCCATTAGCTCAAGTGTCAGAGGTCTCTGTTGTAGATTTAAAGGTACAACTTTGCTGATGAACCATGTGGTTGTCAGTATGATGCCATATGTTGGAATTTGGGTTTGGGGAGCATGGGGAGGGGGTTGACATTTCGTAAATCACACCCAAAATAATGTATTAAAATACTATATAAAACAGTAATCATATAATAAAAACATTATTATTAGGCATGTGCATGAGAATAAAGCTTATTCTGATGTATTATAACTTTTGAGTACTTGGTAAACTTGATAATGATCTTTTTGTGCATTTTGCTGTGCGTAAGAAACAATATACAACAAAGTATTTTCATACTAGACTATTCCTATTCTTGTAGGTTGTGCAAATCCACTTGGGGTCACTGTTCTATATACAATAAGAATCCACCTCTAGGATTTTCTTTTAGAAAATTGTATATGCAGCTAGATGAAGGCAGTCTCACCTTTAATGCCAACCCTCATGAGGTAAGTGGAATATCTCTAACACTAGTAATAGCTGCTGTAATCTTTTAAAACTGTTGTATATGGAGAAAGTTGAGATTGTAGCACCATTAAAAGTCAACTTTTAATGTGTATTTTGATTTGTTGTGTGATTTCTGAATACTAGAGTATGGAACAGTTCTGATCTTTTCTGCTTATAGTACCTGTATACATCATTGACACGGCTTGACGCATAAGCACCTGGCATAGCAATCTGACCTATAGATATCAGAAAGTCATGACCTCATAGTATCATTAGGGGGATCCTAGTGTATTAAAAGTGGGGAATTAAAAAAAAAGTCATATATAAATAAATATAATAAAATCCACTGTGGGATATGGTCTTAAGCCTTCTCCCATTGAAGCCACTGGTGAAACTCCCAGTGATTTCAGTGGAGCATGATTTAGTTCAAAAGGTAAATACAGTTGCCCACAGTCTGGAATACCAGTTGATTCTAGATTGTATCCAAACCTGTTTTACAAGCCTTCAAATACAGGACACATCTTTAATTTCTAGGTGAAAATGTTGAAATAATGCCTATATTAACTTCCCTCAGCTACCTCTAACTAACATGTTTTCAAATAATATGTAAGTATACTTTGTAGCCAGAAGCACCAAATCACACTACTAGAAGGAAACAGCTAAACAAATACATTTTCTGAAATAGTAGTTTATTTGACTTCTCTGAATATTTGATATTTTTTTATTTAGAAAATGTATACCAATTCAGTTACATGGCTTATGTGCAATAGACTATTTATTATACAAAAAATATCGTCTCAGAAATAAAAGGTTGTTATTTATTTAATAGTAATTAACTAAAAATGTAATTGGTCAACTCTCCTGCAACTGCTTTCTCCCAGCCCGGTTTCTTCACTGCTTAAGAAGTAAACTTTGTTTTAGTTATACCAGGTTTTAGCCTAGATGTGCAGTTCAAAATCCATCATGACTTTGAAAATACTCTCTTTTGTATAAAATCACGCTTCATTCATCATATTGCTGAAGAAAAAATGGTAAACAAGACTGAACAAAATTGAATGTTCACTTCCTAAGTATACTTACATAACCAACACAGCAGGGATATGGAATATATCCAGAGTAGAAAGAGAGTGCATATTCCCTCTCCCAATTTTCTGTTTAAGACTAAATGGCTTACTGTTTCAACAGGATACAGAAAATCTATATTTGCAAGTGCTGCAGAAAATGATAAAGCAGTCGTATGAGCCTCCAAAACAAAATGATTCCATTTAAATTTTATGAATTTCATTTGCCTTGTCACACATTTTTTTTCTTTGACTGCTTAAATCTATGCTCTTTTCATAGATCAAAAAATGTAATACTTGGCAGCTTCTCTGATACAGTACAGAAAAAGGGCACAATCCTACAAGGCCTTCAGCACCTTCACTGCTAATTGAACTTATTGATACCTTTCAGTTGAAGCTAACAACAGTTAGTATTGCTTTCCAACATATTCTTAGCAAATATGCTGTCAGAGATGAAGGTTTTTAAATGAGACTTACTACTGAGGTGATATAAGTGTTACCTCGGCATACCGATCTCCACTTCACCTTGCAGTTTTAAATGGATCTAGTAATCTACACTTCCTGTCCTAAATTACATTGTGCTGTTATTTTCCAGTGTCTATGTAAAGTAATCTCTGTATAGTTTAAAGCATTTTGGTGATTCTCTGGAATAAAAATGTAAAATAATAGTGTTAATTTTCATTTTTTTAAAAGCAATTGTAAATATTAAATATTTTAATTTATGTATTACAATACATTTGATAGTTTGGGATTCATTGTGGTCTATATATCAAGGGAAATGCAAACATTGTGCTTCAGGCTCACTGGCAGCTTGGGATCTCATGGTATCTCCTAAGGCTTCTATTTCTCTCTCCCTGTGGAGCACCTTAGCCTGGCAGGAAGCATTCGGGGGCTGAGTTCCAGAGCATTCCTGAATTTTACAAATACGATTGTTTTTTCTTCTTTACAACTGTGATTATTGGAAGAATTATTACTATAAGGACACTGTGACTAGAATATGATATATGATATGATATATAACATTCTACTATTACAAATTATGTGTCTACAAATTTCCTGCCCAACTCTGCTTTACATTTGATAACAGACTTGATTAAAATATTATAAAAATAAGAATACCTACAGCCACAGGAGCAAGATTCTCCAAAGGACTCCGCCCATATCATGAAAATGGGTAACCAGGCTCCACAACAACAGTTCCAGAGCTAGCAGTGGCTCACGGGGTGGGGGAGAGCCATCTGCACACTTTGTGGTAGGATTCTCTGGTTCGCCATTGTTGTGTGCATGGCGTTGTGAAGTCTGCTGTAATATACTGTATTGATTGTGTGCATGAGCTTGCATAATCCATGGCAAGTGACCACATTCTACTGAAAGAATGTGCCTAGCCACATTTACACATAATGTGAAAGCCTCCCTATGCATGTGCAAGACTTTGTTTTACTTATTTTTATTTTTTATTCCATTGGCAGCACCTTTGTAACTAAGAACTTTTTAAATATTAAATCCTTATACAAAATCATTCTCCTGCTCTTAAAATTCCTGGTAATCTCCCTACATCTCTCTGCCATATATTATTCTAAATTGTGTATAGTATGTGTGAATTGTTTTCCATGCAATATTCATTTCATATCATGCAGACTTACTACTATATGAATTTGGCAGTGATCATGATTTGTATTTCATAGTTTTATATACTCTTTCTGACTCAGTATAAGATGTATTACCAAACTTATTATATCAGGCTTTGTTGTACACTTAAAATGGGAGTGGGAGAAGACTTGTAATAAAAGAAGGCCCAATTTATATTTTATGGCTAGTGATAATAGTCCTAATAGATTTTTGGGTTGTTAATATTTGCATTTAATTCCTGGCTCCACTAAATTGATTGTCAAAAATCTCACATTTCAGTAGACCCAGGGATTTTGTCTATGGCAAATAATGCAATAACTTTCTAAGTTACAGTGAGTACAGGTGGTGCACAGTATTTATTAATATTCAGTTTACTTTTTATTCCTTCCCCCTTTTTTCAGTTGCTCTAATTTCTTGTCAACTTTCTTTGCACTTTTTTTGGATGAGGGAGGGCAGGCAGGAATAATTTTTCTATGGTTTGGTTTCCTAATTTTAAGGTGATTATTTTAGAAGTTGGAGCAAAGATGTTCAATCTGTTTTAATTATGCATGTGTGTGTAGGGGGATACACCCTTTTCCATATGTTTCTATTAAAATCTTTGTGCAAGGTTAATTTAATAGTTCATGGCAAGAATAACAAAAGTTTGACTTGTTTAGTACATCTCTAAAAGAGGTGCGAGGGAAATGGATTTGTTTACCTTAAGTTAATGAAATTTGAAAACGGAATATCATATACACATAGCAGATTTTTTTTTCATTATCTTAAAAAGCAAAATTGGCAAGATTGGTTCATCCTCTTGGGAACTCTACGTTCTAGAGTTTCCAAGCCAAAAATATCTTTGAATCTAGGAAATTAAAAATTGTGCAAAGTTTCTAACTTACAACATTAAGTTAAAAATAATTCATTACAAATAATATAAATTGTTTTTGAGATAATATTTTAAAGACTATATTTTGAAGTCAGCATGTTGAGAACAGCAACAGGACCAGCTTTACCTCAGTCTTCTGTTGATATGTAAGAGGAACTGTCCAGACCTGTGTCATAGGGAAAAGTAAATTAAGATCAACTAAAAATCTTAGCAGATATCACTGAACATGCTATCTACTGATTTCTTAAATCAGGTTTTTTGTATTTTACAATTATTTACATAATTTAAGTTGCAGCCAGTTTTCTGTGAGCCCTTATATTTTTTTTTTAACATAAGCTGGGAAAAATGTTTCACTGTCCCATATTTCTGAATTATCTTAACAATTCTGTTCAAACTGTAAAACAAATCTGCAAGTCTGAACACGGAAAATTTCAGATAAAATTTGACTAGTTTCAGAAAGCTGTGTGTGTTTTTTAATGCAACCTTAATTATCTGTAATAGATGATACCAGAAACCTACCATACTACATTTACTATACTATGAAGGCTGAAAGAACAGAGCTGAAAGACCAGTCATATAAACTATCTATAAAAAACAAAAGTTACATTAAACTTGTACTTCTGGTTGCCCGCTTCTCTTTACCTCTGACTGCTACCTCTGATAAAATTTGTTTAATCTGATCTTTTCTTCCTCAAAACCAGTCTTTGTCAGCTTTAGTAACTTCAGGGAACCCCAACCAATCTCAGAAATGTAAAATGTGCTCTCTCTTGCCAGGCATTTTTCTTGGATCCAAACCATATTTACTGCTCTTAATCCATTTCTGTGTAACTTGCACTATGCCAGTAGAATCTGAAGAATTCTAGTAATGGCATGTTGAATATATGAAACTTAAAATAAATTTAGGAAAAGCCATTATTTCTGTGAACATTAAAGATAGCAAAGAATTTGGTCTTTTTCCTTTGTACATCTGTGATGGAAGCCGCATCCTCAAGGCCATAGATAAAACATTAATTTAAAAAAAAAAGCTAGCATAAAATATTAATTAGTATATTGAAAATATTTTGGATAGAAAAGAAAACAAATGCATAAATACTGCAGTAATATAAAATGAAGTGAATGCTGATATTAAAAAAATTGGCAAGTAAATATCAGACAATTTCAGATAACCTGTTTAAAAAAAAAAAGATTCCTACACAGACGACAATACATCCAGAAGGGTGTCGTCTTATGAAATATCAAAGAGTGTATCAGACTGTATTGGCTCTAGGAAGAGACGGTAACAACAACTACTGATGGGTTTTTTTGTTTTTGTTTGTTTTGGGAGCAGAAATAAGTATTAAAGTTCTGCTGTAAACTAGTTGCAGTGGCAATTGAGTTATACTTTGGGCATGTGTAAAGGAACGAAGTGAGCAAGGAGACCACATAGTTAGAGGGAGATTAAAAAATAAAGGGTCTGTTACAGAAGATACATAAGCCAAAAGAGGAGCTACTAGCTTGTGTGATAAGGACCCTACAAGAAGATGTGATTTTAAAGAGCCTTATGTCAGAAAGAAATGATTTGTAGCATCTCCCAGGTGAAGAAGAATATGTCCAATGGTTTCTCCTGTAGAGAGTGACATTTTCATACTGCTAATTACATATCCAAGTTTGAGAAGGAAATATGGAGGCTTCCAATAGGTCCTTCTAGTGCTTTTTTCTGAGGAATAAATGCTAGAAAGACAGTTTAAAAATAGAATACTGTTATGTCCTCTTCCTCAAGGCCCCAGTTCAGAGCAGTTTAAACACATTTGTAACTTGAACATGAACATAAGTGCTTTGCTGAAATGACATGCCAAGTTAAGGAGAGAGATTTAAACACACAGTCCAGCAAGATAGTATAGTTGTTTCTTTGCTTTGTGTCATAGTTGAGCAACTGTCAAGTACTTGAGGTACCAAAACCAAAAGTAAAATCTGCAGAGATCCACAGGGAGGAGAACAATGAGTAGGCTCAGTTCCTTAGCTGCTGCTACCTAATTACTTACTACAAGGACGAGGCACCTACATGTGTGCTTTACTGCAGTTGCTTAATTAGCTCTGCTGTAAAGCATCGCCGTCTATGCGTGCAATGTTATTAGGGCACCAGAAGCTAATTAACTCTGCTGTAGGATAGTACTGCCCAACACAAGTACTGTCCTATTGCAGAGTCCTTTACTTTGTCGCAGTATACATGTAGATGGTGACCAGGCTGACTGGGGTATGAGGGTGCTACAGCGCAGGGGCTGCCTGCCAGCTAACCCTGCACTGTAGCACCCTTGTGCCCCAAGCAGCACATTGAGCTGGGACGGAGCAGCTCCGGGGTGGCAGGCTGACTCTCTGGGCCCCCTGCCACCCCAGAGCTGTGCTGCCCCAGCTCAACATGCTGCGGTCCTGGGCATATGTGTAAAAATGCTGCACCCAGGAGCAATAAACTCCAGAACGAACTGTGCCAGAGTTTATTTAGGCGCATTAATAGCACATGTGCCCAGAAAGATCTTTTTTTGCTTATTCAGCTTTTTAGAAACAAGTTGTGTATTATAGTCTAGAGCCTAAAATTATCTGGATCCAGATTTCCTTACAAAGAGTATTGTTTTCTCTTAAAATATTTATTTTGTTTTTAACCAAGGGGACTTTGTTGCTTTGGGTAATACTTTCTTCATATATACAAACAAATATAATGATTAAGCTTTATTAAAAGACTAGGTAGCACATTGTTTGTGGTGTATGTGTGTTTTCTAGCCTTTTACATGTGTTTTAGGCTTAAATTGTTCATTATTTTCTGAAGGCATATAGTCTAATTTCCTGTTTGCTTGATGTGAATTGTCTCTTCTGTCTTACTAAACTGTGCGTCTCACTTTTTGTAAAATAACTCTCCAGGTTAAAAGCTCACTCTCTATTTATGCCAAATTGGCATCAACAGGAAGTTTGTTTATGTATAGAGTGACAGATTGTCCCCCATGTCTTAATAGCCTTAATAGGAACTCCAGAGGCTTGCAAACTATTGTAAAATCCTTGACATCAGAAGATTTATAATGCAGAAAAGATTTTAAGGATTATCTTTGTTGACTTTATTGCAATAGTACATTTTTATAAAAAGCAGATGCAGACAAATGCATCTAGTATGTAAAACACAGATAAGGTAATATATTTAGCGTATTTCAACATTATAGGTTCCTGTAGTGGTGGTATAGGATTGCCACTTGAATATAAGCCCCTGTTTTCAATGCTTAAAAATTCCCCCACATTTACATTTGAGATTTCTTTTTCTTTTTTTTTGTTAAAAGGTTATATTAAAAATATCAATTAAGCTGCATTTGATTTGACCATGAGGGAAATGGTTTCATGCTTTGAGATACCTGAATACACAAGATGCATCCAAAAATATCTTAAATGTTATTTTTTAGTTCAATTTTAAATCTGATTTGTACATACTCCTCACTGAGAAATGTGTGCTTGGCAAAGTTTTTTAAAAATGGCAGTATAAATAACATATGATATATGTTCATTCTATCACTTTTTAAATTATTTTATAAAATAAGTCAGAGTTCTATTTGATTACATGTCTACACCTATCTGCACTGGATGTACACTTTAAAATAAACACACCTGCATTAATCCAAGTCATTATACATTTAAACACATGCATCTAGTGTGTTTATTTGATTGTGATGCTATTTACATGTGAGAACGCTGAAATCAGTGCTTTGATGAAAAAGAAATTTAAAAGCTAAAACACAATATGGCCAAGATTTTCACATGCATCAAAGTTGTGAAATTTAAAATTATCAGTCTTATAATAATCTTAACTACAGTGCATATTTGTATGTAGTAAAAATATGTTTATACTGTAAGAGAAAATAGAACCAAATTATACTTGTTACAGGATCCATAATTTTAAATTTCCTACTGTGAGAACATGTAAAATCTCAACCATAACACTGCATTGTTTCTTTGCATTTGACTTGTATAATAGTTTTAGATTGTATTTTGCATGTTGAAATGCAGTTTAAAGGATGGGGTCATTATACTAAAATCCTAATTATTAGGATCATGTTCTAATATTACTAAATAAAGTATTGGCAATAAAAGACGTGTAAAGACCAAACTTATATAAAAATGTCTTTTATCTCAGGGAGTCAACTACTTTATGTCCAAAGGTATACTGGATGACTCATCAAAGGAAATAGCCAAGTTTATCTTCTGTACAAGGACACTAAATTGGAAGAAACTGAGAATCTATCTTGATGGAAGGTACTTTGAATCCATCACGAAGAAAAAAATCTGTATTCATTTTTCATCTGTAACACTTTAATAATCACTATTTAACTTGCCTTAATATAATGATTTTTTTTATTAAGATGTTATTCTTAAAGCAGAAAACTTACTCTGTTATAATATGTGTGTGTATGTGTGCGCGTGCAGGCACCCCCCCCCCCACACACACACACACGTATAACACTAGCTAAATATAGCATTTTTAATATAGTGAGAGTCAGATAGCACACAACTTATTTCTACTTTTTCTGATCTGAGCATAAATTGTATTGAAGTTTACAATGCTGTATAACAGTAGTGTTCAAACTTTTGACTCTGTGAGCCAGGTGAGTGATATGGGGCCAGTCCATGGGCTGGATCAAGCTATACATGCCAGAATCAGGCCCTGGGGTCCAGCATGACCTGCTCTCTGCTCAGGGAGTGAGCCCTGGGGCCTGGCACCACTCCCTCCCACCCCCATGCACTGGGATTGAACCCTGAAGGCAAATGATCTAGGAGAATTCTCCCAGGTTTATTCTCCTGGTAGAAAAACTTACCCAGAAAGCCCTGTACAGACATTTGAGCTAAGCAATAAGAATAAACCTGGGAGAACTCTCCTAGATCATTTGAACATGTATATGCAGGTAGTGTCTAGTTACAGATACAACTAATTAAACATGTTAAAAATCAGGCTTTCAGAATAGAGTGAAATTCATTCAGGATATACGGAGCTGATACAAATGCCTTTTGCAATATTTAAATCCCATGGGAATCCATGCTTATGGGAGTTCCGCATTCATGTACACACACACACACACACACACACTGAACACCAAAAGAATCCGTACCAGCCAAAACATTTTGATGTACAAGGGAAATCTGGAAATGAGACAGGAGGAGCAAGGGATCCACAGCTGTGTTGATTCAGTGTCTGAAACCACGCAAGTGGGAATTTTAGAGATAAAGCCTCCAGAATTCCAGTTTGTGGCTTATTCTTTTCACATCTGTGATTTCTACACTCTATATGGGTAGAAGTCCTCCTTAAAATCTACTACTCACTCTTTGTAGAGAAAACATAAATTTCAACCATAAGGAATAGGAAAAATATATATGTAGCATTTAACATAACATAATGATGTTATACAGCAGAGCCATTCAACCCCTGCCTGTGGGCCAGATGTGGCCTGTGGGGCGCCCCACCAGTCTGTAAATTTGTCTGCAGAAGAGTGGTGGAACCTCACCCTCACCACCAAACTTGTGGACCCATGGGGAGCCCCAGGCCCTGCATGCTGGATTGGACACTCAATCCCAGTGAGCAGCGCCCGGCAGGGGCAGCACTGGACCCCAGGGCCCAATCCTGGTGGGGAGGCCCCAGACCAAATCCTGGTATTGGGTATTGCCAAGCCCCTGGAGACCAGTCCTGGGGGAAGTGTTTGCCAGGCCCTCAGGGCTCAATCCCAGTGCATGGGAGTGGAGGGGAGTGATGCCAGGCAAGGATCACTCCTGAAGCAGAGAGCAGGTGGTACTGGACCCCAGGGCCTAATCCTGACGTGTACAGCTTGATCCAGCCCATGGACTGGCCTTGCACCACTCACCTGGCTCAAAGAGACAAAAGTTTGAGCACTACTGTTACATAGCACATAATACAAGCTGTATAACAGAAAGCCTGCAGCGCTGACGCTGGCCTGCCAGGAGGCCTTAGAACAATAAGTACTGCAATCTACGCATGGGGTGGATGCGAAGCATTCAGGGGACATGTTCTGAGCCCTGTTTGGCTGGGATTTACATACTTTCTCCCTGCACCTGTGCAAGGGAAGGAGGTCAGGGAGTAGGCAAGGAGCAATGCTCTCTGGGATTCCAGAGGACTATTCTGCGGCTTCTCTTGAATGGATGCCTGTACGGATGTTTGGTCTCCTGAAAGATTTTATCCCAGAGCAGCCATTTTTGCCCTGGAAGAAATATCATGACCATCTATATACACTTATGGTTTTTCCTGGGGAAAAAAACAACTCTCCCAGGAGAAATTGAATGTCTGTAAGTAGCTACTTTAAAATGTCTTGTACTGTATATTTGCTCCTTTATTCTGGTTTCAGCTTTGTTCAGGTAGTATTGCAGTCTTAATTTCCTGTCATGTACTACCACTGTGTGTGCTTGCACCTGTGCAAGTACAAATTTAGAATACTGCTTTATTGTGGTTTTTCTGCACTAGACTGTGCACTATGTAGTAGATGTCTGAGAAACTGTTCTTGTGTTTTTGGATTTTCTTTACTTCTCATGAAAAAATATAAAGTCTGAAATCAATTTTCACTCTAAATTATGAATTCTATATTTTCATATGTAAACTGTTAAAACATCTCTCTCTCTCTTTTTTTCCTTTGCCAACCAGGCGAGATGTTTTAGATGACCTTGTGACACTGCACAACTTCAGAAATCAGTTCTTGCCAAATGCACTGAGAGAGTTTTTCAGGCACATTCATGCCCCTGAGGAGCGTGGTGAATACCTTGAGACTCTCATAACAAAGTTCTCACACAGATTCTGTGCTTGTAACCCTGATTTGATGAGAGAGCTTGGCCTTAGCCCTGGTAAGCAGAGAGAACTTTTATATAGTGAATCCGAATTTATATTTCTGTGTATACTTGGAAACTGCCACTTTTTTTAGTGGGTTTAAATAAAGCTGTAACCAGGGGCAATGCCTAGGGGGTACACACAGGTGCACGTGCACCTCCTACGCGTGGCGGTGCATTCCCTGCAAAAAGATGCTGCCAGCAGTGTCCCTGATTGCCCTTGGCCGGTACCAGCGCTGCCAACAGCACCTGCGGGTGGTCACCAACCCGTGCTTGCCATCCTCCCCGCCCCCTGCTGATAGTGCTGGCTGCATCTGCAGGAGCTCCTTGCTTCCCGCTGCCGCCAGTGCAGCCGTTCCCCCCTCCCCCCAGCTGCCGGTGGCACACGCTGTTCATGGCTGTAACAACATTTTTTTTAAAGCACAGTACTGAATGGGTGTTGGACATGAGCATATTCAGCATACAGACATCTCCGACATATCTTTAAAAATATCTGAAGATTCTGATTCTCCTTTTGTACACTATTAAGTGATTTTTTTTTTTTAAAAATGAATTATTCTACTGCACCTTTTGCCTTCCTCCTCTGTGGCTTAATTTTATAGATTCTGTAGGCTTAAGTCATGAAAACATGTATGTTTAACTTATACCTCCTAATCATCTCATAGAAATCAGAATGAATTGGCCTCTTTGAAATGAAAGTGTGTCTGTATTCCTGTCCATAAAGCCCTCTGAACACTCTGGATGCAATATAAAATAGTACATTAATTTGAAATGATTTTACTATCATTACTGCTACTTAACAGGAATAGATTCATTTTAGTCAATAAAGTTAATTATGTGCATATTTACAACAGGAGACCATATGCTTGGGCAGGGACACACTTAGGCTTCTAAAAACAGTAACTTCAAAACATTTTCTTTTCTTTAGATGCAGTGTACGTACTATGCTACTCTTTGATTCTGCTTTCCATTGATCTTACCAGTCCTCATGTGAAGAACAAAATGTCAAAGAGAGAATTCATCCGAAATACAAGACGTGCAGCTCAGAACATCAGTGAAGATTTTGTAGGGCACCTTTATGACAACATCTACCTTATTGGCCATGTGGCTGCCTAAAAGCACAATTTGCTAAGACTTAGACTTTGTAGTTTAAAAAACTAAATCAATCCAAGGAATTAATTATTTTGTAGATATGGGGGTTATATTAGTGCTGGTCATTCTAACCTCTGTATACAATCAAAATGTGTGTGTGTGCGTGTCTTACCTTTTTTTAGCAATTGAACCATGGGATCCAAAGGATTTGGGGAATTTTTTTCCATAACTTTGCTTATGTTTTGCACAAAGCAGTTCCATTAGTTTGACATTATACTGACGTACCATTTATGAATGTTAAACTGACATTACACTTTTAAGCTGACAGTGATGGATTTGTGCATTAGATTTGCTTGAAAATTTTAACCAGTTCCATAATTTTTTTAAAATACTATGTAATGTGTACATATTTAACTAAAGAGATTTATAATCATAATTATTTTATTGTAAAATATTTTAACTAAAGGTTTTTCTTTTCACTCTTAAAAAATAGTGTTGTATACTTTTCCTTATACATTTCATATGTTGCTCCTGTTTCCATCACACTGGTTTTCTCAACGGTAAGATAAAGAAAAGTTAGTCTGAATAAGTGTTTGTTCCAGGACATAAGCAGTTGTGAGTGTCCAGACTATCAGTTAGTGTTGTATTTATTTACTTGAATTAATTGGCAATTATTATAAATTTAAGTTAAAACAGGATTGAACACTTTTGTGTAGACAAACCCTAAGGCTTTACATAAAGGTAGATAAGAAAAATGGTGTTTTTTAATACTGAGTTGGCTAACATGGATTGTTAACATTCTATACCATGTAAGTTAGGTACATTTGCAGTTGTGTTTCTTAATTATAACTTACCACTGGGGTGGCCAGCCTGTGGCATGAGCAGCCTCTGCATATAGCATATGGCAGATGAGACATAAGACAGGCAGCACAGCAGCAGAAAGGAAAGCAGCAGATCAGGCAGGGGGCACATGGCAGGGCAGCAGGGCAGGCAGAAGAAGGGGATCAGAGTGGCACTCTCTTCAAAAGAGTTAGCTCCCACTTACTTAGGTTATGTCTGGATTGCAAAAAGGTGGTTAGAAGTTAGTTAAACACATCATTGTTGTCCTCAAACTCCACTCCTCCCATCTAACTACAATGCAGGGGACCCTGGGTTAAATATAGCTACGTAACAGGTTATAATATGTTACTATTACATAAGGTCTGGCCATTCAGATTCATGGTGAGACTCTGCAAATTGAATATTTCCTGTCCCTCAGAAGCAGTCTCTCTCAGAAAGCTAATATCAATGAAGAAATCCAACATCAGCTCAAATGTGTAAGTGCAGCCTTTGGACGCCTGAGGAAACAGGTATTCAAAGGTTGCAGCATCAGATCCAAAACCAAGCTCATGGTTTATCAAGCAATTGTGATCCCCAGCTTACTGTATGGAGCTGAGGTGTTGACAACATACAGGAGATGCCTTAAGTGTTTGCAGAAGCATCATCAATTCTGTTTGTGAAAGATCCTTTGAATCCAGTGAAAAGACAGACACACCAACATTAACATCCTCTCGCAAGCAAACACCGCAGGCACTGAGGTGATGATCATCCTACAGCTTCACTGGGCCAGCCACATTATCCAGATGTCCAATTTCAGACTCCTGAAGCAAGTCTTATTCTCCCAACTCAGTCAAGGCATACACTCAAGAGGAAAGTAGAAAAAGTGCTTCAAAAACATCCTCAAGGCCAACTTGGAAAAAAATACAGCATTGACACCAGCTCATTGGAGAATGTCACCCAGGACTGCCCCAAATGGAGGAAGTCTGCTGCAATGATCAGTACTTTGAAACCTTATGGTGACAATAGGAGACAGAAAAGCAGGAGCAGCAGAAACAGCATGTATCAGACCAAATAAAAAATCCAGAGCCATATACCCTGCACAGAAGCACGTGGCTGAGTTGCAGCAGAGTCTTTCGATCCCAGATTGGCCTCATCAGCCATCTTTGAATTCACAGATAAGACAACCATGGAAAATAATCATCCTCAACTGCGAAGAATACATAAGGTGGCTAAAGATGTTTCAAACTATCCTAGCTAATGCAGTTTTAAAAAGCATCTTCTTTGTCTATTTTTATGTAGATAGATTTTATGTAGATAGATTTTAAATGGTTCTAAACTCAGGAAAATAATTAAAAGAGTTGAAAGAGTCTTAATCATGTAGTATTCTAGCAGTTTAGGAATGGAATTTTACCTGTGCAACTTACATTACAATGAATGAGGAACAGTCTTTTAGCCAAGTAGCATACAACTTAGTGCTTCTCCCTATTATTCAGTAGACTCCCTTGAAAATAAGAACATGATCCTTAATTTCATGTTTGTTTATTTATAATCTAAATACATCACACTCACTAATTAATTTATCTTCGTGTTCCTTGTGTGATAGAAAACAATTTTTATTTCATTTTTATTAGAAGGGGATCAGGAAGTCTACTGCAGAATGAGGATCTGAACACAGGTCTTCCATAGTCTTAGTGCCTTAACCACACTGCCATTTTTCTTACTTTCTATGCATGAGATTTATTACACCTGAATAGAAAGACTAGGAGAAAATGAGCCCAAGATAAAGATGATTGGCACCAGTTGACTTCTGTTTTATGCACTTTAATGAAATCATCATTAGGAAGGAGAATGATAACATTTTTAATTCATAGTCCTTCTAAAGGTTACATAAAATAAAGATAAGATATTGCTATTACAACTGTTTGCACTTTTTAATACTTCTAGTATATTTCTGGTCCAGAAAATGCACAAAAATGCATTCAGCCATTGCTGCTATGATTCAGATACACCTTTAAGTAAATCTCAATGTGTGCCTGTACACAAGTGCAGAGACTTCTCCCTGTCCCTCAGAAGCAGCCTCTCTCAGAAAGCTAATATCAATGAAGAAATCCAACATCAGCTCAAATGTGTAAGTGCAGCCTTTGGACGCCTGAGGAAACAGGTATTCAAAGGTTGCAGCATCAGATCCAAAACCAAGCTCATGGTTTATCAAGCAATTGTGATCCCCAGCTTACTGTATGGAGCTGAGGTGTTGACAACATACAGGAGATGCCTTAAGTGTTTGCAGAAGCATCATCAATTCTGTTTGTGAAAGATCCTTTGAATCCAGTGAAAAGACAGACACACCAACATTAACATCCTCTCGCAAGCAAACACCGCAGGCACTGAGGTGATGATCATCCTACAGCTTCACTGGGCCAGCCACATTATCCAGATGTCCAATTTCAGACTCCTGAAGCAAGTCTTATTCTCCCAACTCAGTCAAGGCATACACTCAAGAGGAAAGTAGAAAAAGTGCTTCAAAAACATCCTCAAGGCCAACTTGGAAAAAAATACAGCATTGACACCAGCTCATTGGAGAATGTCACCCAGGACTGCCCCAAATGGAGGAAGTCTGCTGCAATGATCAGTACTTTGAAACCTTATGGTGACAATAGGAGACAGAAAAGCAGGAGCAGCAGAAACAGCATGTATCAGACCAAATAAAAAATCCAGAGCCATATACCCTGCACAGAAGCACGTGGCTGAGTTGCAGCAGAGTCTTTCGATCCCAGATTGGCCTCATCAGCCATCTTTGAATTCACAGATAAGACAACCATGGAAAATAATCATCCTCAACTGCGAAGAATACATAAGGTGGCTAAAGATGTTTCAAACTATCCTAGCTAATGCAGTTTTAAAAAGCATCTTCTTTGTCTATTTTTATGTAGATAGATTTTATGTAGATAGATTTTAAATGGTTCTAAACTCAGGAAAATAATTAAAAGAGTTGAAAGAGTCTTAATCATGTAGTATTCTAGCAGTTTAGGAATGGAATTTTACCTGTGCAACTTACATTACAATGAATGAGGAACAGTCTTTTAGCCAAGTAGCATACAACTTAGTGCTTCTCCCTATTATTCAGTAGACTCCCTTGAAAATAAGAACATGATCCTTAATTTCATGTTTGTTTATTTATAATCTAAATACATCACACTCACTAATTAATTTATCTTCGTGTTCCTTGTGTGATAGAAAACAATTTTTATTTCATTTTTATTAGAAGGGGATCAGGAAGTCTACTGCAGAATGAGGATCTGAACACAGGTCTTCCATAGTCTTAGTGCCTTAACCACACTGCCATTTTTCTTACTTTCTATGCATGAGATTTATTACACCTGAATAGAAAGACTAGGAGAAAATGAGCCCAAGATAAAGATGATTGGCACCAGTTGACTTCTGTTTTATGCACTTTAATGAAATCATCATTAGGAAGGAGAATGATAACATTTTTAATTCATAGTCCTTCTAAAGGTTACATAAAATAAAGATAAGATATTGCTATTACAACTGTTTGCACTTTTTAATACTTCTAGTATATTTCTGGTCCAGAAAATGCACAAAAATGCATTCAGCCATTGCTGCTATGATTCAGATACACCTTTAAGTAAATCTCAATGTGTGCCTGTACACAAGTGCAGAGACTTCTCCTATGTGCTGTAATTACAGTAAGTTAGAGAAGACTTAATTAATTGAGTCTGCTGGAGCATGGTAATTACCACACTCCAGCAGCCTCCCACGTCTCGTGTATCAGTGTCCCTGCACTTCAAAATGGCAGCAGGGACACTTGAACCAAAGCTCATTGAACACAAGATACACAAGACACAGAGGCTCTTTAATTAGAGTAGCTCTTGGAGCCGCTCTAATTAAAGTGCCGCTCCCCATCCCCAGAGTACATGTAGAAGTGCCCAATGTTACCTGCACCTGTATTGCCTCAAGATGGAAACAAACAGCATTGCAAGTGGTCATCCCAGGCATGTTCTAAAGGGTTGTTCCAAACTCTTGAGTGATTTCTCATTGCAGAACAGTAAGTACAGTGGTACATCCTTTTTCAGAAGGCTCAAAAATAGATGCAGCAATGATGGCTTTTAATTAAACCTGTTAAAATACCCTCACAAGTAGTCACTACAGAATTACAGATTTTTTTTTGTTAACTTCAAATTGTAAGAGCTTTTATATTAAAGATTTGTACTGCTAAAAATGAACACTACAAGCTGTTGTAGCCACTCACGTTTTATTTCTGGAAGAAATTAAGACAGGTTAGAATGATAACCTCTAAAGGCTGTAGGGAGATCTGGCCTGTGAAGAGGTTGGATCCTTCCCAGGAAGGTCCAACCTGGGCCAAGGTGACCAGGACGATTGAACAACACAGAGCTGCACCAAGCCCACTGTCCCCTCTGCAGAATCCTTCTCAGCAGGCAACTGATCAGCTGCTGCTCTCTCTGCCTATGCTTACCTCACTGCAGAGGAGCCAGATATCTGCAGCAAGGGTAAATGCAGGCTGTTCTGAGCTGGGCGTCTTTGGGTGCAGAGATTTGAGGTTGCAGCATCAAGCCGCATTGCAAGCTGTGGTCCCAGGGTAGCAGTGTTGCAGACCCATGTCCTAGGTAATATCTCTTGGAAGCTATGTGCTTTGGGG